GCCGTCAGGCTGGGGAGCTGGAAAGCTTCTCCCTGCCCATTCAGCCCCACCAGGCAGAGGCCAAGCAGGCAGGCAGAGCAGCCCCTACCCACAGCACTGGGAAAAGTGCAGGCAGGGAGGTGGGCTGGGGTGGGATTCCCAGGGGCTGCATCCCTGCCACAGGATTGCAGGGATGGAGGAAGGTGTCCTGTGCTGTGATAAACAAGACACACAGTAGGCTGCTGCTGGTTGGGCACTGCCGGGCATGTTCACCGTATTCCCAATAAAATCCCCTCTAAGCCCTGGCCATCTAATGCCGCCTAGATCTGATTAGATGCAGCCGCCCTCCAAAGCCAGCATTACCTGGCAGGCAGCACCGCCTCGTCCCCCGCCCTGAGCGGGGAGGCAGTGGTGCAGCCTAGCACAAGCAGCGAGGCGGGAGCGCAGCGGGCTGGCCCCGGGAGGCGGCCCCTGCCAGCAGCACCATCTGCCAGACACGCGGCCGGCACGGGCTCAGGTGCGCGGGGACAGTCCTGGCGTGCTGCCCGTCCCGGGGGTGGGGTGACGTGCGTCGTGGCAGGGCTGGCTGGAGGAGGATGGGGGTTGCCTTCCCCCCACTAAGTGCTGAGGATGATGTCTGAGCTGCTCTCTCCTCCCCGGCAGCACCCCGAGGGAAGCGAGGCTGGAAGCCCTTCCATGCCATCCTGAAGGGGATGATTCTCTACCTGCAGAAGGTAGGCAGCAGTAGAGCCACCTGTATCCGCACCAGGGAGAGGGATTGTCTCCAACCCAGGGGGTGGGTCATGGCAGTCTCCACAGCAGTGAGAGGGGCTCCAGCAAACAGCATTGCAAAGCATGGCCTAAACAAACTCAGCACCATGCGTGCTTGAGCCATTGCTTGGGGATCTGGTGGCATCCCTGTTCCCAGGGTGGCTCAGCCTGAGCAGTGAAAGTGGCTGCTAAGTGAGCCCTGCATGCAGGGGGCTTGGCTGGGGAGACAGGGGGCAGTGGGGTCTTTGCCCTGGGTGGGAGGTTGGGCTGCACATCCAGTTCCCTGCAGGCATACATGCTTGCCCAGCTGTGGGCAGTGGGGAACAGCCCCTGTGCTGTTGCCAAGCCAATGCACCCAGGTTGTGCAGCCTCTCCCCAGGGGGGTAGGATGAGTTGGAAGCAGAGACCACAGCTGGCTAGTGGAGGGTGATCTCTAAGACCTGCCACTGCCAGTGCTAATCTGCAGTACCTGAAGCCTCACAGAGCTGACTCATGGTGGGCTGCATCCCTGAGCTGGCTCTGAAACTCCCCGTGATTTGCAGGAGGAGTATAAGCCAGGGAAGGCACTGGCAGAAGAGGAGCTGAAGAATGCTATCAGCATCCACCATTCGCTTGCCACGCGGGCGTCTGACTACAGCAAGCGACCCAATGTCTTCTACCTCAGGACAGCTGACTGGAGGGTCTTCCTCTTCCAAGCACAGTGAGTCCCTCAGGATCACTGGCTGGGCCCCACGCTGGGACACAAGGGCTTGTCTGACTGGGGGGTAGGGTGGGATGGAGCTTAGGGCCACATTGCTCTCTCCTGTCCTGGCCCTTTCTGGAAGGAAAGGGACCCGGTGTCAGTGCTGAGCTTTGCCCAGCTTCTCTTTTTCTTACCCTGCTGGACACAGGATTGCTGGGGGCAGAGCCCCGGGCGCCATGGCTGGCCAGGGCCAGGTCTGGGGGACTTGGATCTTGTCTGCAGGGCAGATCCCTCTGTCTTTGACACAGACAGCCTATCTGTGGTATGGCTTTTTTCCTTAGGAACCCTGAACAGATGCACTCGTGGATCACACGCATCAACGTGGTGGCAGCCATGTTCTCTGCACCCCCTTTCCCCGCAGCCATCGGCTCCCAGAAGAAGTTCAGCCGCCCGCTGCTGCCCAGCTCGTGCACCAGGCTGTCCCAGGTGGGCCATGGTGTGGGGGCAACCGTGAGCATGGGACAAACCCCCTGGGTCTCTCGGTGACACTTTTCCCTGTGGACGGACCTGTGTGGTGCCATGCTCCCCCACTGCCTCCCAGTGAGGTGCAGGGCCGAGGGAGACACAGAGCAAAGGGGTACTGAGGTTGTGGGCAGACAGTGAGGTCTTGTTCCCGGCAGTGGGGACCGGAGTCAAGCAATAGACCATGGAAGAGCACATGGTCCCACACCACAACCTGCAGGGTCCTACCAGGGACCTTGAAAGGCAACTGACTGGGGGGGATTAGCTGGCACTCATGCATGCCAGGGCAGATATTCATAGAGCAGGAAGGATTTAAAAAAACCACCAGCCTAGTTTTAGAGGGATTAAATTCTTCTGCTTTAAGACTGCAGTCAGCCCCTCCCCAAGGTGAGAGCAGACAGCCCCCAAGGGCCTGTGATTTTGCCTGCCATTTAGAAAAAAAAAATCAAACCCAGGAGCAGCAGCTGAGATTTTGGCTGGACCTATAAGGGGAAAAACCTATTCTGTCCCTGGCCAGCTCACACTACCAGGGGGATAGACCAAGGCACTGACATGGTGTCACTCTTCCCCAGGAGGAGCAGGTGAAGAACCATGAGACCAAGTTCAAGACAATGTCAGCAGAGCTGCTGGAGCATCGCTCCTCACTGCCTGAGAAGAAGGTGAAGGGCAAGGAGTATGAGGAGCTAAAGCAGAAGGAAGAGTACCTGGAGTTTGAGGTGAGCTGGGAGATACCCCCTCTACCCTCAGGCCCTCTGCCCTCAAGCCCTCTGCCCCTGCCTGCTTGGCTGTCCTGAGCGATGGGTCCAACCCATCCCTGTCAGATGAGTTGCACTGTGTCACTGCCACAGTCACAAGCATTCCCCTCCCCTGGGATGCTGGCTGGGATGGGTGGGGCCACGAGCACCCCTGACATGGGGATGCTGTGCAGGGGGCAGTACCCAGCTTGCCAACCTCTCTCTCTGCTGCACTGTGCCCCCCAGAAATCCCGCTATGGCACCTACGCCATGCTGCTGCGGGCCAAGCTGAAGGCTGGCTCCGAGGACCTGGCAGCATTTGAGTCCACCCTGTTTGACACAGCGGGTGGGGAGGATGATGGCCTGAAAAAATCCCGCTCCAGCCCCTCGCTCAACGCAGAGCCCTCCAGCACGGCCACCAAGGTGAAGCGCAATGTCTCAGAGCGCACTGGCCGCCCCAGCCACCCTCAGAAGTCCTAAGTGAGGGGCATCAGCCGCCTGCGCTGCAGCTCCACTCCTGCCCCCCCAGCAGGGGGGTGGAGGCCGTGTGCCCGCCGAGACCCTGCATGTGTCCGTCTGTCTGCGGCACAAGTTAGAGGGGATGACAGCCCTTCTGCAGCCGCCAGCACCAGCCATGCAGGGCCACGGCCCATCCACCAGAGATGATGGCAGAGCAGGACAGTCCCTGGTCCTTGCCTGCAGGAGCTGCCCGCACCATCGGCCCCATCAGACTTGTTCCTGCCCCTCCTTGTCCTGCATTTGGCTGCAGGACCTACTCTTCTGCCCCGGGAAAGGGGAACAACTGAAACCCACTTGCTGGCCTCAATTCTTCAATGGTTTAAAAAAAAAAAAGACAAAATTGCAGCAAAACAAAGCCAGCGGCTGCTTCTTCTCCAGCTCCGTCGTGCCATGGGGGTAGATGGGAGGGGGCCAATCCTAACCTGTCCCCTCTTCTGGGGCTGGTGGCCAGGGAAGCCAGGGCAATGGCACCTGGTCTCCTCCCTGCCACCTCAGTCACCTTTGCACCCTCCCCGCTTTCTTACAACTTTTGAACAGTTTTTGTGATACAGTTTTGCACTTTTTAGTACCAGATCGAGCTGACCACCAGGGAGGTTTTTTTGGGGCTACTTTTGATGCTTTTTGAGAACTGTTTAAAAAAAAAAACAAAAAAACAAACAACAGAAACTCAGCCATTTCCTGTAAGCACTGCATTCTGGGGAAAAGAGGCTTTTACAAGGACCTGGGGCAATCCAGCTCCTCCCTGCCCTGCAGCAAGCTGAGCATGGGCTCCTGTGTGTGCTGCTGCTGCCTGCTTCCCCAGCTCCACTTTGGCACCAGCAACCCTTTGGGGAAACAGCCTTGTGGCTTCCAGCAACAAGGAGGCAGCCTTGGGATGGCAGCACTCATTGCTGCACTTCTGGCTGCATGGGATGCTGATGGGCCGGTGCTTCATAACCCCCATTCCCCCTCGGCAGCCTGGACAGGCCCTGTTTGCCATCTGGGAGTGATCATCGTCCTTGGGGCATGTTGGGCAGCAGTGTATATGTACTCCCAGTGGGGCAGTGACCCCTGGAGCCAGGGCTGACATGTGGGTCTCCACTGCCCTATGGGTCTGGCACAGGCTGGAGCCAGCTTTCCTTCCCACACCTCTTCTCCAACGCATGGCCAGGGCCTCAGAGGCTGCCAGGAAAGCCTGGTCTGCAGCACTGCAAGGTCCTCAGGCTGCAGCAGTAGTGGTGCAGTCCCTTCCTCAGCCACGGGCTCCCTCCTTGCCAAGGAGTGGGGCAGGCTGGGGTGGCCCCCACCACTCCAGGGTGGGCTGAAGGATGCTTGTCCAGAGCAAGGTGCAGGTGATGGAGTATGGCTTCAGGATTGTCCAGAAAGGGGTCTGGAGACAGCAGAAGGGCTGGGAGCAGGGGCACACGCAGTTCTCGGCTGCCTGGGACCTGGCTGGTTTCAGCACTGACTTTGCGAATGTGTCAAACTTTTTATTCTGCTCTTTTAAGTCTATTGCAAAAACAAAACAAAAAAAAAAAAAGAAAGAAAAAAAATCCACCCTTGCCCCAGGTGGCTTAGGGGGGAAAAAAAACCTTTGTACAGCTTCTCTCGGTTACTGAAGTAAAACTCGCTCTTCACTTCTTGTGTGTGCTGTGGTTTCTTCCCCACAGCTGGGGATAGCCCTGGCACAGAGGGATGCTGAGAAGGGGCTGGCAGCTCTCTCCTTGCTGCCAGACTCCCAGACCCAGGCAGAGTTCAGTGGGGTTAGTGCCCACTGACTCACGGCTGGGGCTGGAGAGAGGGAGGGCAAAGGCTAATGGAAACTGTGTATTTTTATTTAGAAGAGGGACCATTAAATAAGAGCAGAGAGGGGCAGGAGCCGGCTGCGTCCCATCCCCCTCAGTCCATGCAGCCAGGACCCCAAGTCCAGAAGGCACTTGTGTGGGCAAGGCAGAGGGCAGTGTGTGGGCACAGGGGCTACTGGCTCCTCAGTGCACCTGTGGCTGCTGGCTGGGGGGCAGCTCACCCCCTGTCTTCAAGGCCAACGTGGGCTTCTGCTCCTCCTCCACCGACTCACTGCCGTAGGCGCTGTCTTCCTTCAGCTCTGCAAAGGAATCCCCAGGTGATCTTAGCAATGGGGCGTCAGGGGGGCAGCAGAGACACCCTCTGCCCACCCAGCCCACGCTCTCTGTACCTGTGCTTTGCAGCTTCTCCAGTGCCTCAGTTTTGTGGAGCATCCTCACGGCGTTGTGGAGCCCCATAGAGTCCAATGCCTCCAGCAGTCCTCCCAGGCTGCCGCCTGCCAGCTGTGGAGAGAGGGCTCTTAGTGGGGCCGATGGCTGGGCAGGCATCAGTGGGACAGGGGCACCTCAGCCAGGCACTGACCTCGTAACTGCGCAGGAGGCTGACGCTGGGCGAGGGGGTGTCCTTGTAGGTCTCCACGAGGCTGCAGAGCCCCAGGCGCTTGGCCAGCTCGATCCAGTCTGACCCACTGCAGTCCTGGTTTAGCAGCTGCTCTAGCCCCTGCAGTGCCTCACTGTCCAGTGACAGGACCTTCCCTGCACAGGAGAAGTGCCTCCATCTCATGCTGCCCATCCTTGCCCCCAGGAAGGTGCTGCCCTGCCTGTGTGAGGTGCTTTTGGGAGGAAAAGGGCTACTCACCTGGCTGGGGAGTGGTAGGCAGCTCCACCTTGGGCCCCTGCTGGGAGGCCTGCAGCAGTATCTCCCGCACCTGCAGACAGACACACAGATGTCAGCATCCCATAAAGCACTGCCCAGATCCCCCATCACCTCCTCACGCTATGGATCTCCCCAAGACACAGAGGGGCACCGGCATCCTCACAGGAGCATCTCCTGGAGCTCTGCCCCATCTGTGCCATGGCCCACACAGAAATGCTCCCTGGGAGTTTGTCCCACGGCATCACACACCTTCTGGCTCCGAGTCAGGTCCAGGGATGTGTGGCAGCGGCGCTGCCTGTGCCCTGCCTGCCAGTGCCCCTGCATGGGGAGCTTGGGGTTGGTGCTGTGCTCTGCAGCCAGGGCTGGCTCCCCCAGCTCCATGGCCAGCTCCTGCTCCTCAGGGTCAGTGTCCGTGTCGCTGCTGGCCTCCGATGAGGATAGGCTCATGGGCTCGTCATTCTCACACAGAACATCTGCCCCTGTTAGGGAAAGGTGGAATGAGCCCCCAAAAGGGAAGGTGGGCCTAGGGGTCTGCCCTGTGCCTGGCACCCCTCAGCACAGGCAGCCAGGGCTAGGGAGAGGGAAGGGAAAGGAGAAAGGGCAGGGCCTTACCAGCTTTGAGGAGCAGTTTGGTGAGGGTAGGGGAGCCCAGGCCAGCAGCCAGGTGCAGGGGGGTGTTCCCGGCGAAAGTCCGGCTGTTGACATCTGCTCCCAGCTAACAAGAAAGGTGCAAGGCCATGATTATGGGCTGCCTGGGCACTTCTCCTCCTACGTTCTGTTACCTGAAGACCTCAGGGGAGCCCCCACTTCTGCCAGGGCCCTGTAGGAGGCTGCACCCCATCCCTGTCCCACAGCCACCACCACACCAGCCGCCCCACACCTTTTTCACCAGGTGGGTAGCCATGTTCAGGTTCTCCATCTCCACAGCCAGGTGCAGTGGAGTCCTCCCACTTTGCCTCTCCGCTGCATTCACGTCTGCTCCCGTCCTGACCAGCAGGTCCAGGCAGGCCAAACTCTTTGCTTTCACAGCCAAGTGCACAGGCAGGAGGCCTGAAAGATGGGGAGAGACTCAGAAGCCTTCTTGCAAAGCCCATGACGGCACTGATGGTGCTGCTCATCGTCCCTCAACCCCACTCACCATGGAAATTGGGCAGGCGGAGCAGGTAAGGGGCAGCTGAGCCCAGGTGGGCCAGCAGTGTCTTCAGCATCTCTTCATCGCCAGCCTGGAGTGCCAGGTGCAGCAGGGAATTGCCGTAGCGGTCCAACAAGGTTGGGTCAGCGCGGGCTTGCAGCAGGAGCTGGACCACTTGGGGCTGCTTGGTGATGACTGCCAGATGCAGCGGCGTCTGCAGGACAGCAGCACAACCTCAGCAGCGCTCACAAGAGGAGCCACGTGCTGCACCATTGTTCTCTCCAGTGTGGCTGCACCCTGCTCAGATCTGCAGCCTCCCCTCAGCAGGAGCAGCAACAGGAGCCCCCAGGGTTGGGAAACAGGAGTGAGGAACTACTCCCAGGTAGAGGAGAACTGGGTGCTCTGCAAAACATGTACCTGTTGCAGGTTATTGGAGATGTTGATGATCTGCTGGCTGGGGATGCTAACAATGACCTCGATCAGCTGCTTGATCACAGCTGTCTGCTCATGGATAATAGCGAGGTGCAAAGGCCTGAAAAGAGAGTGGAGTGGTCCCTAGCTCAGCTCCATGCTTCTCCAGGTACTCCCTGCCACACCCAGAGCCCCCATAATGGCTCTAAAGCCCAACAAGGCCCCCACACTCTCCCTCCAAATCCCTTGTGTGCTCACGTGTCTCCATTCTCGTCCTGTGATGCAGCCAGGTGCCTCTGGACTGCCAGCAGCATACGGGGGTCGGCAGTGACCGAGTAGTCAAGCAAGGCATGGGCATTGCGACGGGCTAGAGCCAGCATCCAGAGCTGGTACAGCTGGGCTGGGGGGCAAAGCAGGATGTCACCTCCAGGAGCAGCAGCCCCATCCATCCACCCTCCTGTATCCCCCAGGAGTGGAGAGCAGCACCCCAAAAGGCCCCCAACCCATGCCTCCTCTCCTGAGTGATGTCCCCCTGGCCCCCCTCAAGCTCAGCCCCTCCTACCATGCTTCTGCAGCTCCTTGCAGTATGTGCTCTCTGCAGGTGCCTGCCTGTCGCTCCCGGGCCCCTCTGCCTCGGGGCCCTTCATCTGCACACCCCCCTGGTAGCTCCCCACAGGGTGGGGTCCAGGTGAGTAGATGTTGTTGTAGGGTAGCCCAGGAGAGTAGGGGAAGCTGAGGTTGCCACCTGCGGAGCAAGCAGGAGGACAGGTGAGCAGAAGGGAGCTGCAAGCCCCGAGGGTCCAGCCCTAGCCACCCAGGCAGGGAGGGGGAAGAGGGATCCCCACTCACCTCCTCCAGAGCCGAAGCCTCCGGCACCCCCTCCAGCACCCCCCATGTGTGAGCCCCCACCAAAGTGTTGGGGAAACTGAGGCAGGACTTTCTTGCGCTTCCTCTCCACTTCTTCCTTGTCTGCAGGGAGAGAGGGGCAGCGGGGTGAGGGGCAGACCCGGTGGCAGGAGACATGCTGGCCTGCCTGGGGGGTGCTCACCTTCCACCACCGGGTAGTAGGTGAACTGCTTGGAGTCGCTCACGTCTCCTCCCCGTTTCCGCTTCAGCTGCAGGAAGACGGTGACAGGACGGTCGATCTTGGGCTTGTGGTAGGGGGGTGTGCGGAAGACAATGGCATACTGTGGGCAGGACACATGGATATGAGGTCCTGCTCGTCCTTGGAGCTGGGGACAGGGCACCCGTACCCCACAGGGCACCTGTCTACCTTGGAGCACAGCAGGACACTCCCTGTCTCCCCTGTACCTGTTTGTGCACATCTGTGGGGGAAAAGTCCCCAAAAGCCTGCCAGCCGTTATCGTCATCCTCGTAGAAACGCACCTCGATGTCATCTGGGGAGAGAAGGGAGCTGGCAGCGCCTGTCTCCTTGCCCCAGTCAGGCTCCAGGAACACAGACCCCTGGCCACCCAGGGGTCCCAGATCTCTCCTGCCACAGCTCCTCCAGAAGGTTTCGGCTGGAGGGAATGGCTTTTACCTTTCTGAACTTTATCACACAGCAAGTAGACTTCGTCCCCTCCCCGCACGGAGCCTGCTGTCTTATCCATTCGTGAGATCTTCAGGTTGGAAGCTCCTGGGGACTCTGCAGAGCAAGAGGAGGTGTTCAGAGCCACTGTGCAGACAGAGCATCCCTCACCTCCTTACCCCACCCTGCCCTGTACCCTCCCCAGGCTGGCCCCATGCTCACTGCTGTCGTGGATGGGATCCGAGATGACAGGCTGGAGGGCCAGCGTGAAGTTCCCGCTGCTGTCACGGAGGTAGGCGGTGAAGCGCAACCGCACGATGCTCAGGTCCATCACCTTCTTCAGCTCCTTCGCCTCCAGCTCGATCTCACGCAGCTCCGCTTCTGCCAGGGCAGGGCGAGACACTGTCAGGCTGGGGGGGGTGGTGCTCCAGGTCCCCCCACCCACACACTCCAGCCCCATGCTAACCACAGTCCCCCTGCTGTCACCCCGTGGGGCTGAGTCCTGCTGAGTCCCCAGGCTGCCCTCACCCGTCAGCAGATGGCTCCTGTTGCGCATCTTCTGCTGCTTCAGCTTTTCCTTCATGATCTCCATCATATTCTTCTTGGTGACATGGAGCACGCCCAGGTTGCTGAACCTGGAGAAGAGGGAACCCCCTGGGAACTCGGAGTGTCAGGGCTGGGAGCAGCCAGCCCAAAGGGATAGTCTCCTGCAGTTGGGAAGGAGCTGAGCAAAGCACAGAGCAGTGCCACTCAGGCAGCAGTGAGTCAACATGTGTGGGGCAGAAGAGGAGCAACCACAGAAGACAGGAAAGGAGCCAGAAAACTGGGCTCCACAGGTGACAAGTCCAAAGGGCTGTCAAAGACAAGACCAGAGGGACTGAAAGCCAGAGGGACGGAAACAGGACCAAGCTGAGCCAGGGCTGGACATAAAAGAGCAACTGCAGTGGTTGCTGAATAACCCCATGATTCAGGCTAGCTTCAAAAGTCATCTGCAAAGCTGGGGAGCTGCAACCCAAGGACAGAAGCCCAAAATAAGGTGCATGTGCCAAAACCCAGATCTAGGCAAAATGCTCAGGGAACAGAGCTGTAACAATGAACTTGTCTAAACACACTCTTGGCCCCATCCAGCAAACCCAGCTCCAGCGTGCACTAACCCCAACCCTGTCCCCATCTTGTAAGCTGCAGGCAGCACCCACAAAGGCAAGAGGCCACCCTGGGTCCCCTCACACATACTGAGCTGTCATGTCCTTGGGTCCCACGATCGTGACACAGTTGCCAGCCTCGTTGCACTGCTTGCCCACCAGGCTGTGGGCATGTACACGAGGAGGGTCACTGTGCGTCACCAGGTCAACCTCGATCCGGGCCATCCCTGTGTAGTTGCAGATCTGCAGGGAGAAAGGAGATAGGAGTCAGGTACAATATACCAGGAGTTAGCAGGACTCTCCAGAAATCCCTGCTATCCCTCCTCATGGCCACCACCCCTCTTGCCACAGCCCTCTCATCCCTCCAGTGCTGTGAGACACACAGAGCTAATTATAAATTTCCTGTCCTTCCTTCAAGGCTCCCTCCTGGTGCTCGTGCACTGCTGGCTGAAGATGCTGTTCTATCCCCTCCCCAGGGCAGTGCTCACCTTGACTGTGGGATAGGTCTTGCGCCCTTTCTCACTGGATGCTCCTGGCAGCCCCCCATGTGAAGGGCCCTCACAGCCGTACCGAAACCGGAAACCCCGCTGCGGAGGCAAAGAGAGGGTCAGCCAAGGGGGGCCAAAACCTGATGCCATGAGAGCAGGGGGTGACAGTTACACCCTGGGAGACATCCTTACCTGCTTTGGCTGCTCAATAATGACGAGGTAGGGACCTTCTACTGGAGAACAGAAAGGAGATGTACCGATGAGAAACACGGGATAACCAAAGTGCATGTTTCCAGCAAGGATGCTGGAGGTATAGGGACAGTACTGAAAGCGAGGTGACCCCTGTCTGTCCCATGAGGGTACTGAAGGCCCCCAGCCCCTCTGCTGTCATAGCACAGCTGGGAGCAGCAGTCAGAGCAGCAGGGAGAGGAGGGGAAGGCCAGAGGATGCCCTGTCACATGGGGAGCAGGGACCACGGGGAGGTCACAGCTTAAGCTGGTAGTCCCTAGTAGACTGAGCAGCAGGGCCCATCCTGGTGGCACGGGACAGGAATTCCCAGCCAGCTCACAGTGGGGCCAGTAAGGATACAGCCTGTGGTGCTGCTGGGAACTAAGAGGTGTGAGTCAGCTTGCTGGGAAAACCCATTGCAGCGGGGGACCCCTGGAAGGGCACAGCCAGAGGGGCCCTTACCCGTCTCAATCAGGGGCTCCTTCTGCTCCATCATGTGGGAACCAAAACTGAAGTCATCGTAGTCAATCCCATCCAGGCACTGGGTGATGGGAGGGAAGATTCAGTGTGATGAGTGTGTTGGGGCTGGAATCCCCAACCGCTCTGGAGGGTTGGCACAGACCCCCATCTCCCACCTTGGGCAGGTGATGGCAGTCTGGCACAGACCCCCATCAGGGCAGGAACAGATCCCCTGTCCCTCCCTGGGAAGAGGGTTGGGCAGGAGCAGACTCCTCATTGCCCATCCCTGGGGGCACCAGCAGATTCCCTTTACCCACCCTGGAGGCTGACACAGACCTCCCATCTCCTATCCCGGAGGCAGGCACAGGCCCTTCCACCTCCCACCCCAGAGGCAGGCACAGATCCCCACCTCCCACCCCACCCCTGGGGTCGGGCACTGCTCCCTGCCCAGCTACGGGACCGGGACCAGGCAGCGACACCCCCCTGGGCCGACCCGATCCGATCCGTGCCGCACTCACCGGCTGGTACTGCTCGTCCATGTCGGCGCGGGGCCGGCCGCCGGCCTGCGGGGAGAGGGGGGTTGAGCGGGTACCGGGGCTGCAGGAAGGCACCGCCGCTCCGGAAAGTCCCTAGAAACCCCGCCGAGCCGGGAAATGACGGGACCGCGCGTCACCGCCCCGCCCCGCCGCGGCCGGGACACGGGGCACGGCCCGGGCACGGGGCACAGGGCAGGGACACGGGGCTCGGCCGGGGCTCCGCACGGCCCTGCACGGCTCGGAGCGCGGCCGCTCCCGCGCCCGCCGGCGGCTGCCCGGGGCAGTGGGACGAGCCGTCCCCTCGCCGCCTGGGGATTTTGGACTCGGAGCCCCGGGCGGGCTGGAAAATCCCGGAGCACGCCCGCCCGCCTCCCCCGGCCATCCTCGCCCGGGCGCTCCCTTACAGCCCCGGAGCGCCACATGTCCCGAGTTTTCCCCCGGGAGCACGGAGGGATTTGGCCCTGCCGTCCGCGGCCGCCTGACCCGCTACAGGCGCCGGTCCCCGCCGCGTAGCCATCGGCCCTTCCCCGGCAAGACGCAGTACAACACGGCTGAAACCACTCGCCCGCGCCACAAAGCCCGGCAACAGCTCCTGGATCCCACAAGGTCCCAATCCCCCAACATCCCACCCCGATGATGTGCCTCCGGCACAGGGATGTCTCCTCCAAGACCCTCTGAACTCAAACAGGAGCAGCTGTCCCAAAGCGCTGCCCCCAAGCTTGCTGGTCTCCCCTTGGCCAGGGGAAGCTCTCCAGAGCTCTGCAGACTGAAGCCAGTGCATGGCAATCCCTGTCCAGGCACTCAAAGGGGTGCTTTCCCTCTCCCCCAGTTTCCACTTACACGGCAGCTCCTGCATCAGTCCTGTGGAGGTGGCCTGTGAGAGGCATTCGCTATCCGTGTTCCCATTCCCTCCTTCTCGCTTGGGAACATCTGCCTTCAAAGTGGAAGTGGCAGCCCCAGAGCTCTTTGTGGGAGCATATCCCACCGCCCCAGCACTCAGCACTGCATGCTCCCCACCGACCCCAACAAGGCACTGCCAGCAGCAGGGGCCCTTCCTTGCTGCCCATGACACTCGCACCCTCCTACTTACCGGGGAGGAAGAGGCTGGTCTCAACAACCCGTCCAGCCCCAGCATCGCCACAGGGACTGCCAGTACCACAGACAGGGAGGGGTTCCACTGGTGTCAAGGTCTGCCTGACCACGGAAAACCACCGGTGACTTCTAGCAAAGGGGCAGGATCAGAGCAGAGCCTCCGAGCACACTCTCTTGCTCCACATTTCTTCTCACTAACCAATGAAAAGAAGAAAAAAAGCAAAAAAGCCCCTGTATCTGACTCCACGGTGCCCTCATACCATGAATTTCTGAATCAGTGGTTGCTGCAGGTCCCACTCAGGGGATTTTGGGTGTGTGGGAGAAGAGGGGAAGGAAGGGGATTGTTCGACCCGTGCGTGACTCATATTCTTCAGAAGCTGAACAGAATCTTTTCAAGGAGATTTTTCAGCCACTCAAGTCCTCCAAAGGGGCTGTCCTGTGACCCCAGGCCTGAGGTTTCCCCTGGCTGGCCTGCCACCTGAGCCCTGGTGAGCTCCGGCAGCCCCTGCCCTGCCAGCCTGTGGGATGCATCCTAGACAGCAGTGCAGCCTGGGACATGGAGTCTGAGGACCTGCAGGTGCAGCAGAAGGTGCAAGGAGGGAGAAGGTAGAGATCCAGCACTGCAAAATGAGGTGGGACCTTCCTCCTACCATTCTGCAGGAGCTTCAAAAGGCCTAGGAACATGGACACAACCCCCCCCCCCAGCCTGTGGGAAGCAGAATGCCCTCCCTGCTTTTGGGATCCCACCCATCACACCACCTGGGCAGCTTCAGCCTGCCACCACCAGCCAGCCCACCCACCTGCTGGCACAGATTTTACAGAGAGGTGAAGAAAGGGACAAACATCCTTCCTCAGTGTGCTGGGAACAGCCACCTCGAACTCTACCTGCTGAGCCCAGCTGGGGGAACCCAGGCCTGAAGATGCTGGATAAGAACAAATTGTGCCCTTTGGATAGCACAGCTCCCCTTCTCCAGTGCCAGCAGCCCCATCCCCTCTTGAGGGGTTTTCACAGCGCACTCATTGCTGCCCAGGATACTTCCACTTGTTGCAGCAAACAGCATGACTGGGATGTCATAGAGTTGTGCCCGCATCTCCCCAGCCTGCACAGCTCTGGCTCTCTCGGGAGATTGCTGGCCATATCCCTGCACAGTGTGTGCTGGAGGAAGCCCACCTTGCAGCAGAGATGGTGTCATCACCTGCTTCTTTGTTCCTGGAAAAGCAACCTCAGACCTACCCTCAAGGTAAGTCCTGCCTCCTGTGCCAAGCAGCCATGCCCTTCTGGCCCTAGGACTCGGGGGTTTCCCCTAGGAATGTAACACACCTAGCTTTTATCCCCTACACATCCCAGAAGGGAACACATCTGTCCTTCCTCCATCAGTAGCATCCCCTGGTCTGTGTTACCCAGCACATCTGAGCTGGAGCATGATCTTGAACTGCAGCCCCCATTTGCTTGGCTAATTCCTCCCCATCTTCACACCTTCCTAGGGCTCAGGAAGGATTCTGTGGGCATTGCTGGGAATGGGGGAAAAGAGCAGCAACCCAGATGCAAGGCACTGCCCAGCACTGAGAGGCACAGCACCAGTTCCTGGCCCCGGAGCACTGCAGTGCCACGGCACCCTTGCCAGACGGCACAGCCTCCCTTGTGCCAGCCAGACTGCTTCAATTAAGGGCCAGCTGCTGGCAAGCAGCGTGAGTTAAAGCCATTCTTCCATGCCTGCAGCTCCTTGAACGTGACCTAGTAACGCAGGTGCTATTTTCTTTCCTCCCATGACAGTCGGCTGACTCGCAGAGCTGATGCCCCGCAGGCAGGAGGGAAATGTACGTCAGTCTATCTGAGGCGAGAGTGTTTAGTAGCCATGGGAAAGAGTGCTCCAGAAACGCAGGAGGCAGCACGAGCGCAGCCCTGCTCCAAACTGCCCTAGTGTACAGCTGACATGTTCCAGCCACCCAGCTGGCTGCTCCTGTGCATTTTGTTTCCCTTAGGGTCTGCTAACACCTGAAAAAGATGGCCCTAAATACCTGGCCTTGCTTTCTGCACAAATACTGTGCTCTGCTCCATCCCAGGAGTCCCAACAGCTGTGGGTGAGGGTCTGGCAGGAGGCTGCTGAGTCTCTCCTACTGTTTACAAGGGCTTTGCTCTGAGACCCTTCCTGGAAATGAGGTCCTTAATGTGCAAGCACAGCAGAGAGAAATCCCCTCTCCCTGAAAGCTGCCCAAGCCTTCCCCTCCCAACAGCCTGCCTTCGAGTACTGAAGCCATTTGTATCTCTCTGCATAAAACGCCTTTACTCTCTTTGTGGCTATCAAGTTGGTTTTGGCAAACCCCAGCCACCCACTGATCTTCTGGTTTTCTCCTCTAGGGCCTGTAAATCAGCTCCTTTGCTGTTGTGTTATGAACCATTGCTCCAGTTGTACATCTGTGTGCCCTCAGAGAACCCCTCTCAGTGACAACCCAGCGTTTGCCATCTCTCACTCTCTCTGGTTTCCACTCTACCCACAATACCACTACCGTGTTGGCATTCACGTCTCCATTTGGGGTAGATCTTGCTGAGCCTGCGGGCATGGATCTCTTCCCCTCGGAGCAGGCAGGAAGCCAGCCCTGCTTCAGCGCAAGCAGGGCTCAACATGCAAGAGAGAGAGCAGCGGGATAGGGCAGAACTCACTGGCAACACAGAAACAGGAAAATAAGCAACTTCCCCACGGCCAGGGAAACGAGTGTAAGCGCCAGCGCTGGGACCTGCTGCCTCCTCCCCACTCCAAGAGAGCAGCTGTCTCTCCATCCTGAATCTTCCCAACTTCCCCTACCCCAGCGAGCCCCATGGTCGGTCCAGAGAAAGCCAGGGACGGGCGCGGCTGTCGGGGCAAAAAGGAGCCCAGGAGCGGCCGAGGGCCCTTCCGCTAGGATGGGCAGCCCTGGCAAGGGAACTTTAAACCTCTGGACCGCTCAGTTCCCTTTCCCTGGGAACCCTTCTCCCGCTGGCGCAGGCAGCCCTGCCCGCCGCCGCTCGGGCGCATCCCCCCGGCACCCCCAGATACCCCCACCCCGGCCCGGCCGCTTACCTTCATCCCAGCCCCAGCCCAGCCGTCGCGCCCCGGCCGCGGTACCGGGAAAGTCCCGTCCTGACTCCGCCTCCCGGGGCTTCCCGGGCCCGGCTCCGCCCGGCGGGACAGCGGCAGGGCGGGCCGGGGGACTCCCGAGGGGACAGGCAGCTCCAGGCTGCTGCATCCCGGCGAAATCGCCCGGCCCTCTCGGGTCAGGGCACCGAGCCCTGGGCTCACGGCTGTCTCCCGAGACCCGCAGGGCCACTCACCCCGTTCCCAAAGCCAGCTGCTACCGCGGCGGGGAAGGACCACCTGCCTCGCCCATGGCTGATTTTCACTTTTATTATTGTAAATTCACTGTTGTCTTTATATATTTTTTTAAAAAATATATTAGATATAAAAGTCAGAAATGCTCCTCTTTGAACTACATATACTGGTGGATTTACAGGCCGGTTTGGAAAGGTGGGCAAATAGGCAAGCCCAACCTGATCAATGCGCACAGCAGCAGCAGCAAATGCCCCTCTCCAGGGACAAGGGAAAATTTATATGTATATATATATGGGTGTATATATATATATACATGTTTTTAGATCTATATACACACACCACACACACACACAGAGCACTCATACCCCTCAACACCCCACCCCCCTGCCCAGGACACTCCGGGCTGCAGCCTGAGGATGCTGGGACTGAGCAGGATGGGCTCCCACTACGCAGGTGCTGGCCAAGGCACCAGCGGACGGATCTGGGAGTCCCAGCAGAACAGGGCATGCATCTGTTCCTACAGAAGTGCCTTCCCTTTCTATGCCTGTGCTCCCTGGGTGGGAGGGCTGGTGGCCGCCCACCCCAGACTGGGACACTCCCCCATGGGACAGCTTCGGTTGGCAGCGGTACAGAGGGGAAATCCGCTGCTCTGCAGGCACAGTGCCTTGGTATGATGGTAAACTCAGCGACTCACTTCCTAAATTAGCTGGGAGCACGGGAATGCCATGACCCAGGAGGTGAAGCCTGCCTCAGCAATTCTCAAAGCTGAAAAAAATGACAGGAAAGTCATCAACTGAAGGCAAGGAAGGCCCTGAGCAGCAAGAGGCCAGCTAGGGCTGCTGGTGTCATCCTGTAGCAGTGTGAGGCACTGCCTCCACCCAGGAAGCCAGGCAGGGAGAGACCCCCTGCTGCCATTCTCACTGGGGGTGCAGACAGACCGGCACTGCCGTGACTTCCCAAGGAAGGGAAAAGGCACTCTGGGTTTTTGGCTCCTCTGACAGTCATACTTGGCAGGCTTGCTCTGCTGAACCTTACCCCTGTGGAGGAGGGAAGAACAGAGATCTCCCCCCCTCCCAGCATACCAGGCTTGTGTGGTGAGGGAAGAGTGAGCCCCCTGTTCCTGCACATCGCTTACAGAAGGAGGCCTCTGTATGATTGCCTGCAGCAGCCCCTGACTCAGACAAGGCTACCCCAGAGGCTCCGGGGCAGATCCTGGCTGATTGATAGCACCAGGTTGGCATCCCTGCACCCCAACAGTGCCCCCAAATCCTGTGGACAGGGAGGGGGCAGCTCCTGCAGGGGGCACCAGCTGCCAGAGGAGTCCTGGACACAGCTCCTGCCAAGAGTGGAGGGCACTGCATGCCCACACGTGCGCACACACACACACACACACACACACACACACACACACAAGCACCCCAAGGCAGCTGGGGTCTCAGAGACATTCAAGGTGGGGAGTTACTGTCAGAGCCATGTTTTGGGAGTCTCCACTGTGAGCTGCCTCCTGTGGGGGTCAGGCCATAGCCAAGCCCTCCACGTGGCTGTGGATGTGTGCCGTGCTGGACACGCTGCTCTCGTCTTTGTAACTTTTGGGAGCCCGGCTGGCTTTCAGCAGGACCAGGAAGGTGTCTGTGGAGATGGCCCCAAACTCAAAGGTGAATGTGCCGTAGAAGACCAGGACATCGATGATGAACATCCACTCACACAGGGCAGCCACGTGCTGCAGCACAAAGCTCTCCTGGATAAAGAACACACCGCCTGAGGGTATCCCAGTCAAGGAAAGCACAGATGGACACCGACCGCCTCACGGAGGACCATGTCCCACTGCCACCGCATGCTGGGGTGGCCGTGGGTACCCACCTTTGCAGGAAACGCACTGCCACTCCTAAAACCCAGAAACCCAGCACCACGAGGGCCCTAGCACGGGTGAGGCGGTGGCATACATGCCCAAACCAGCCTCAGTAAATCATGGGACTGATGCCAGGCTGGGATTTTCTGAAAAGGCCAAGGCAGGAGGAACTCAGGCTGCACTTCTCAGTGCAAGCCAGGTGCCCAGATGCCTCACCCTCCCCACACCCCTTGCCTCTTCCTCAAGGCAGGCTGACACTCCCCATCCTCCTGCAGGATGCCATTAAAGATGATCAGCACTCCATCCCCTAGGTAAGGGGGTTTGGGCTGCTCATCCCAGCCCTGCAGCACCTCCTGTCCCTCTGTGCTGCAGGCTGGCCCATGCCAGGGAAGGGGCCTGCTCCTCCTTCTCCACGTCCTACTGCTGCCAGAGTTTCTTTGTCCTTCTCTCATCCTCACCAAGGATCTCTAGGGAAATTTACTGCCAGAGCCACTGTGGGTGAGGGGAGAAGGCATCCCCCAACCCTCCAGGTGAAGCCTCCAGCAGTACAGTGCCTTCTGCCAGTGAGACCAAGATCTGGGAGAGCTGCAGAGGCAGGGACCTGACCTGTACAGTGTAGAGCCCTTTGCTCACTCCCCCCATCCCATTAGGAGAGATCCCAGCCCTTTCCCCACACTGTCCACACCACAGCTCACTGCTTTCCCACTGCTAGTCCCCAATGCTTTCAGAGCAGGATGGCCACAGCAGATGGGCACCAATCCTGTCTCCCTTGTCCTTACGTGCCCTTCCTGTCCCTCCCAGCTGGCATGGCCCTGCGGCACTCCTACCCTTCCCAGCTCCCTGCCTGATTCCCAGCCTGCCTGCTGCAGTGACAGAGCAGGACCCTCTGATATGTGCCAGGCCTACCAGCACCCCCCAGGCTGCTCACCTCAGCCAGACCCCAGCCAGCCTCTTTGGGACCCACGGACACTGGATGTTTTTTCCCTTTCCTGCCCAATAACCACCACCTTGTTTCCCAATTTATCCCCACCCTCAGTCCCAAACAAGCTCCTGGCTCCTTGGCCACACACTCAGGACCATTCTTCGAGCCCCAGTCCACCTGACACCGTGCCCTCCCTCCCTGCTATGGTGTTTGCAAACCCCAGTGCCTGCTCACCGAGCCCTCCCTCATCCTCATGGGCAGGTTGGCTTATGGGTGCCAGAGAGCCCTGGCTGGCAGAGGTGTTGCCATGCGCCCACCCAGCACCTGCACAGAGCACTTTTGTACTCAGCTTTGGTCATACAGGTAACTCAGACAGACTTTGCTCAACATACCTTTGTCTCATGAAAAAAACCCCATCAGTTAACCAGCCCTGGGTTATGTGGAACTGGAGCCTGCAGTGGTGGCTGGGCTGCAGCAGCCAGGGCAGGGCTGGTTTGGGGCATCCGAGCACCCCAAGAGATGCCCACCAGCATCCCTTCCCCTCCTCAGCCCCTTCCCAGCCCTGAGACTGCTGCTCATCCAGCCTATACCTGCAGAGAGCTGCCCACCCTCAGTCCCCTGCCCAGCCCCTCTCCTGGCACCATGCCTCACTGCCAGACAAAAGGATGGAGAACACGGGGTGCATAACCCACCATGAGAACCACCTTTCACCAGCCCATCCCCAAACTTCTTCCCACACCTTCAGGATACTGAAGACGAGGGTGACAAAGGCCACAGTGGTGAGGATGCTTCGTAAGTGGCCAGTCCAGTACTGCCCTCGGGTTTTGGCCATGCGGTACGTGAGGATGGACTGCAGGAGCAGGAACAGCATGCTGGTGGGAAAGGCCACCCCTGCTCCAATGTAGTGCAGCACCTTGGCGTGATCCACCTGTGGGGAAGAGACCATCAGCGCCAGCACCCTGGGACACTCCCCAGCACAGCACAGCTCTGCTCCAGGGGTTGGGTTCCTGCCCAGGTAGGGGTGCAGGCAGTGCCAGGAGCAAGTCCAGGCAGCTCACTCTGTGCCTGACTCCTGGCAGAAAAGCAGATTTGTACCCAGTATCTGCTGCCGGGATCTCAAAGCACTCTGTTTCTTTCATCTGTGGGCCAGCAGCCCTGCTGTGCCCAGGGGCAGGGGCTGCCCTCTGCCCTGAGAGGCATCTGGGGCCACCGGCACTGTCCCCTGCGAGGGTCACAGCCCAGTGCTGCTGAGCCACAGCTGGGGCACAAGGGGGATCGGGGCCAGCAAGCCTCTCCTGTGGCTGGCGCCGGCAGCAGCCTCCTGCCAAGCAGGAGGGACTGGCTGCCGCAGGCAGCGGGCAGGCAGCTGCCGGGAGGCCGGTGCCTGGCAGTGCAGGCAGGGGCTGAGTGCTGCTGTGTGCTGCCAAGCCTGGGCTCACTTTGGTCATTGCCAGCACAGACTCTGTCCCGACAGTTACCTGGCATCACCCCTGAACAGGAGCATCAGCAGCTTGGCACAGTCCTCAGCCCGACTGGCACGTCCCTGGCCCTGCACGTGCCCATGGAGGGGACAGACCTTGCAGAGGGTCTCAGGTAAGGGTTAAACCAAACCCATCAGCTTAATCTGGACCTGAACTATGAACACACTAGCAAAGAGGACTCCCAGCACTCTGGGAAGCACAGCGCTAACTCAGCAGAGGGGAAGGATTGCACAGACAGAAACCACCACCAAACCACCCCAAACCCCTACCCTGCTGAGCACTGCCACTGCCCCGCTCCAGCCAAAGCCCTCTCCCACCCTCCTGCCCCTGGGGACTCCTGAGAAGATGCCTTACCTGGAAATTGCCAACCATGGTGAGGCCGGCAGCGCAGACCCAGCCAGTGGCCAGCCCCAGGGTGTTGAGGAGGGATGGCCCCAGGCGCTCCAGGATGTGGGCGTAGCGCAGCAGTCCCACCAGGATGACTGCAGGAGGGAGACACAGCCCCATCACATGCTGCTGCCTGCGGCCTCCCTCATCCCATTCCTGCCCCGTGCTGGGGGTGTGTGCTGCAGGGCAGCCCACTCCCAGCCCCACTC